CATTAAAATTTGTAGCCCTCTTCTAGTTGGAACGAATTGCTAGAACCTGAGCTGACAATACCCTTTCTGTTAATCCTGATTTTAATCAATTAACTCATTAACTCTCCTTTGAAATGGGTTTAACCGTGTCAAGGACAGTCATCGAGCTCGATCATCGGCAGCGTTGGTTATCACTCCAAGACAACCTTAGGGTCAAACAGCTCCGATATACCAAACATCTACCAAATGCATCTTTTGAAAAAAAGAGCAATAGTTTCATCAACCACTACAAGCTGTTACCATTACCGAGCTTTCTAAGCGCGTGTTTTATGTGAACCCCAGCCCTGAATATAGTACTTTTCGGACATCGACGACACTATGCAAAACAAGAAATGTTTTTAAAACTCTTACACGTATCATTCAAACCTACCATCTAAATATCGTACAGAACTCATGCTTTTGTTGATGTCCACTTCGATCCACAATATCGACGCTCTGTATGAAAACGACCACATTCAGTTGTTCCTAATAAACATTCCCGTAATGCTTTATCTGTCTGCTATGAGATAACTCCGTTCGCGCTCGTGGCAGATCTAACTAACTAACTATTTACCACTGAATTCTTGCAATACACCGCCCTTGTCCTCTGGAGGTCAACCAGCTGTTTTCTATTTTCCTTTAGAAAGGGAAAAAGAACCAAATATATGTTTAGATGCAGCCCATGATGGCAGATGGGCAAAGGGTTTCAGTATTATGTGTGGTCTTGTGGCTAGCCCACCCGCTTCAAAGATATGACAAGACGAACATTTTAAAAAATCGTAGAACGACTGCCGCCTGAAATAAGGCGAACGAAAAAGAAAATCTTGTTACCTCTTCGAAGGGTTTCTCATACTTTGACACGAATTGTTGGTTTACGGTCGTACCTATCGTATCATGTATTAGCAGGCAATTGGATTCTGAAGTTATGTTGGTACAAGCTTGCAGTAGAAATAACACCTATAGCATTAAGACCAACGATTATCAATCTGCTTCATTTGTGGCGCCATTATCATCAACAAATTTAGTATCGTTCTTTTCTTTTTGCTATATTCTAAGGTTCTATTTTGGCTAAAGCTTAATTTCTAATATTTTTTCTCAATGGTTTTATTCACTATTAATGTAAGTTAAACTGAAATGGCTCCTGTATATCGAAGCTGTAGGGTCAACCCTTATGGCTTAATAGGGACTATCGTGCCTTTATCGTGCTGTAAGGACTAACAGCTTTCTACAGTTCGATCCTTATAGCGTCTCATTCAATTCATATCGAAAACTGGCTAGTGGAATTTCAGGTTTGTGTTACCAACTGTTCAGCTCGGCCCGGCAGGAGGTAAGCTTGTGCAAAACCGGCTTACCTTTTTCATTGGTGAGTACTGTTCAACTGTCTATCAGTTGGCATCGTGCCTTCTCTCAAGTGGAATTACTTCTTACACTATATCTTTCCGTTGCAGCGTCAACGGGTTTGTTCATTTAACGTTTACGGAGAAGCTATTCGTAACCATCAGGCGCTTTGAAAGTAAATGAACCCGGGTGATGATGTTTCGATGGTCGCTCCTTTGCTTTAATACTTTCTAGATAATACAGCAGGCTCAACTTTGAAAAGCCACGAATTGTTTTCACTTTTAGGCCAACGCAAGACTGACTACACTGTGAAAAAAAACACCTTGAGTTGGTAGCAAGGTCTTTATATTATACCGTTACGTGAAATTCACCCTCCATTAGCTATATAACCAAAATGCAAATAAAATATTTGAAAAAATCAGCGGCAACTTGCACAAACTTTCCACCTACGAAGGGCTATGGATCATCCCAATGCATCATTATGCATTATCTCCAGCAAATTACAAGTATGCCTTTCTTACGTGTATGCATAGTGATGATTATTGTACTTAATTCTACTAAATCAAGCCGTCTATACTAATCACGATGACTGATCAATTTCTTTATTCAGTGGTGCACATGTACTATCTTTGTATGCACAATTTTCTCATACCGTTACGGCAATGAGAAGTATGAAGCGGCGATCACATCAGTGGAACAGTATAATTCATATTAATTAATATACGCTCCGAACTCATATGGCAGACTGATTTTCCAGGCCACTGATGACAACTTTGTTGGGCTTCATTGACACGTAATCGCACGACAATAGCAATAAATAAAATGAAAGCTTTGTAATTACGTTTTGTCATATTGCAACCATCGTGTCCGATAGGCTACAGTCGGTTTTCCCTGCTGTTACCAGACGAGAGTGGACAAAGAATAGAAGCATCGGCCCGTGGCTCGTCGCTTTTGACTTCTACTGTACTGTGTATTTTTTTTTACGAAGTTGCAGATAATAACACCATCGAGACTGTGCTGGGCCTGGTTTAAGTTCCTCAGTAAATTTAAACATGGCTATTTGCGGTTAATCACGGTCACATTTATGTGAAATATGATGAAAATCGTAAAACTACCGAGAATATTTCATTCTGATAGGAGTTGTTTATGCGAAAGTAACGATCGGGAGGAAATGGGAGAAATCATTAATCCACGCACAGTTCCTCTAGACAATTGGTTATGATCTGCTTCTTTCAATCAAATAGTTTTTCTTACTTTGCATCCTATTTTTACTTTCAAGGAAGGTTCGATTATCAAACAAACTTAGAATTTGGAAAGTTAAGTATTCTCAGCTTTTCCACACGACTGAACTGCAATCAATGCCAACCGGGGTGTATAACTTTGTCGGATAATCCAAACATAGATCCGTTCAATAGGTAAGATTGCACATTTACGTGACATGTGAATGAACGCCCCCTAAAGACGTGATCGCTAGGTGACAAGAAAAAACTACCCACATAAATCACTTAGGAACATTCTGAGGCAAGCAAAGCTATGCGGGCTCTTCACAACGCAGCTTGTCATGAACATACATATTAGTGTTTTGGGTAATTACGGCCCACGACGTGTAAATGTGTAGCTAACAATGACGTCTAATTCTGTATCTTCCGAAAGGCACTAACTCAATTATTAGTAGATAAAGCAAAGAGCGGAAAGCCGGAGTTAGATGTTTAGCCAAAGACGTTGCCCTGGCTAATAACGATGTTTAAGAAGCCCTAGCTTAAAAACGAGTAATTTATTTGCGAAGTCTGTAGAATATAAAATTGGAGTTCTTCCTCAGTGGAAATATAGTTATTAGCAAGTTTATTTATTTCCAAAATGTAAGGGTAGTACTAATCCAGAAGAGACATGGACTTTAGAACTCAGAATCAAATCTGCTACACAGTTAAAATACGTGCTCACGTGCGATTTGCCTCACCTTTGGTTACATTCTAATCTGTGGATGACTGTGTTTCCAGTCTATTTTATAAAGCAAAGTATACTGAATAATAAATACCTAAAATTTCTGCCATATTTTTAGCTATATTGACTAATACCATGCCTGTAACCTCTGGATGTAGTTTTCTGTATATACACTCACACTTAAGCTTTCAACAAACAACGAACTACTAAAGTTAAGTAGAATCCCTCTTCTTATGTCTATATATATATATATATATACTCGCTATGGGATAGGTTTACCAGATAATTTTCATAAAGTGAGAACATTTTCATAAATCGATTCGTTGTTTTCAAGAACGTTTTTCGATGCCTTTACCTTCGACTATGGGCATTTAATTTTGTATAGATAATATTTTTCATCCGATTCCAGTGACGGTTCTGAAGATTATATTGCCCAGTTGAACAAAGCCGTGCTATTGTAGATTAGTTCAGATTTATGCTCAATCACATGTGTATGTTTCATTTCGTTGGAAAATCACTGTAGTGTTATTACTTTATACTAGTGTCCACGAACTCGTTAAACGCACGGTGAGCCTATGTCAATATGAACACATATATAAATAAGTGTTCATATTGACATAAGAATAACATAAGAATATTCTTTAACAATATATGATGTGAACACACCAAGTATTTTGAAACGTTTAATTTATCCACTTTTTCGAAAACCTACGCTTACTATTAAATACTTTTATTAAGTTCATAAAAGTTGGCGCTCTAACGATTATCGCCGTATGTTTAGGTGGTATAAACCAACCCAGTACAATGCCACCGAAAGGGCTAGAATATCATCCCTCAATGGCACCCTTATAACGAAGTATATAAATTTAATGCCTACTACCCCGACTTCTTCACACAGACCATTCTTTACTTCTTCACACAGACCATTCCATAGTTTATCAGTAGACCGGCAGCTAATTGATGAACGATTTATAAATTACGGTTCTTTGTAGCGATTTTTCATTCAAGTTACTTTTCCGTGACGGGATTATTTTTTGCAGCATCCAAGATGCCGGGTTCCTATGGTGGAAGATACCGGTACTTTGCATGTTACAATAATCGATGCCCGTGTTTGATATCAAATATAGATAGCATAGGACCCAAATTAAGTCTATATTCTGATTCGGTTAGTTGAAATGCAAGGGAAAACAGATTTGCGCGATTCAATATCAAAGTGATTCCTATAGTAAAGTAACTAGGCAAGTAAAGTGAGTAGGTTGAAATTTACTCACTGGCTAACCAACTTCTTGTAGAATCTAACATATTTACTGACAGGTCAAAGTCACAGTGTTTATTAAATGCGACATTTTTAAGGTTACGCAATTCTTGATTGTTGACTGCACAAAACCGGAGATTGCTGAGGTAATCTACGTGATGTGCTCTCAATTCACTGACAACTCTCTGAAATGCTACCGATAAGCAGTCAAGGCGTGGAATAATTCCTTGGTCGCTTTTTCTGTAACTATTTATAAGAATTTTATTGCGTCTTGTAAAGCAAAACGCAAGAAAAAATCCACAGAAGGTATCTCAAAAGCTTGATCAATCTAGTACTGTTAATCGAATTTTAAGCAGATATATTCTAAACACACTTTTAACAAATTAAGTGTTTTGCAGCAGTTAGCGGTGAAAACAGTCAGGCACCAATTAGTCTTCTAGTACATATATTTATTTTCATAGATTATTAATCAAACCACAGCTAACATCGAAGACTGTTGAATCCCACCAAAATGTATAATAATTATTAATTAGTTATATATTCAATCAGCTAAATCAGTTTGCGAGAAATATCTGCTCACAAGACAAATGATCAGATTTAATGCTGTAATGTGCTCCCGATGTTTTATCACCTCCGCGGTGTCCTCTTGCGAAGGGCCAGCACTATAATCACCAATAGCTGCCCTTGCCTTAGACGCTGCCCGGGCCAACGCTCGGATCGAATCACATGCTTCGGGCGATAACGGTTTCTCTAACGCTGCTAAAAGAGCAAATAGCCAACGACCTTGCTGTGCTGTGAATCTCCTCTGAATTAATTCAGTATGCCAGCCTGTGAACGATTTCTTAGCCAAGTTAGTGGTTACGGAAGACTAACCAAAAATTAACATCTATTTAAGTTCCTAAACAGAACAAAAATTTGCTCTATTAAAGAATAATGATGAAGTGCTTAAACGTACGATTGATACTTCCTAGAGCGCCTTAGAATTTTCACCGTAATGAGGGTTTTTGAATGTCGTTTTCTTTTAGACAGTTGCGGCAAACAGGCAAACATTTTATAGCGACTGTTAATTTAGCTTGAATTTATTAGAGTGGCGTATAAATAGAATACATGTTAGAAAAAAAACACCTTTTACAAAATGAATATATGTAGCACAGCATGTTCGCTAGTATTTACAAAGCTCAGAATAAAGTTCGTACCACTGCACAGAAAACTTACATATTAGCTGGAGTATCCGCGCACCCGGGATTAATGTCACTATGCTAACCAAGGGAACGATAGTTTCATTTTCGATTTTTTCTAGCCATTCCTCTGCTCTAGAAATGCCGCTCAAGACTTCGTCAGGTTTCGGTCGAGGATTTCGTGAAATTCGTTGCTGTTTTTCGAAAGCAAATCTCTGTCGCACCTCCGAAAATAGAGATACTTGTTCAAGCTGCCACTCAATAGAAGGTTCAAAACCAACTAGAGGGCGTAGTTTTTCAAAATCAGAAGGCGTTCTTGGAATGACACCAGAACTTGGACGAAGTTTTAAGGGATCTATTGAAGCTACAAGAACCTGAAACATCCAATAAAAGTATACATAAATTATAAATAATTAAGATTGTATGCAAAATATTTGACGTCGTTTCTCTTTCATGCATTGTTCTACGCTGAGTTTCACAGCGAGGGGAAGAAAATTGAAAAGCTGCAAAAGGCGGCCCGTTAATACTTACAGTTTTTTCTCTCGAACCAAAGAGACCTTAAAATTTTTCATTTTCATCTTAACCTACTTTGAAAATTTCAAATGATTTAGACTGATCCTTTACCATAAATGGTAAACTAAAGCAGTCCTAGAATTAAACATATACTACAATAAAGGACATAGGGAATCACATTGCAGATGCCAAATATAGCACTATAATAGAGACAGTGTTTGAACCAATTTTAGTTCCACAAAGGATCCCTAAATATTATAAACTGCAAGACACTGATTTTCTTCGATGACATGCATTGATGAAGTTCGAATGTATTATTTAGCAAGCATGGTTACGGAAGTAGTATACCGTGTACGCTCAATATAGAGTCGTAGGGCAGTCAATCTTTTGATCACATGACCTTTACGCCTTATCCTGCTCGTCTTTCCAATTTGTTTTTGCTACTACGCGCCTGCTGGGCTTACCTGTGGACAGTTTCTGGCTTCCTGGTGGACCTTCCGCAAATACTCGTCACCTGTTGTGGGGACATGGTCTTCATCGAGAGGTTCTCCGCTGCAGTTAAACGGAAGCGCTATTCGCGGTCGGTCTTCATCTTCATCTAAATCTATTTGCAGCATTGCAATATAAAATATAAAACCCAAACACAATTCATTACTATCTAAATACAACCTCTCAGGAGTGCTCGGCACGCGAACGAAGTGAAAACAAAAATCTAATATAATTATTTTTAGATGCGCTTAATGTTATAATAGAAGTCCCGAACGGTGCGTGTAACTGCAAATAATGTTTTTTGTACAAAATTCAGTGAAAGTAACTCAGATCCTTTCTGTTGCAGCGATAAACATTGTGCACTTGTCACTGAAATCTTCACCGAGTAACATGTAATAACTTCATTTTAGCAACGAGCAAAGTTCGAGAATTCCAAGAAACTTACCGTCGCTTCCTTTGTAAATCATTTGGCTCATCTGCCGCGCTTTTCTTATCCAGAGAGAATAATTCACCGAACGTTTTTGCAATGTCCCTAAATGCGACCTCACTCACGTTTGGTAGTTTGAGTGAGACAGATAACTACTTTGCGCACTACCAATTTAACCCACTTTCTTAAAAGGCTGCTGCACCAAAAATATGGGACAATATTTCTGCGAGTCAATTTCGAACGCATTGATTTAAATTTGCCGCGGGTGTCTGTACGATGAATGAACGCATGATTGTTTTTGTAGGCTATGTCTTCTTGAAATTCCATAAACCAGACGGTTCTCATGTCTCCGTTTGTCAACATGCTAATGTACAATATAATTTATCTATGTGTGGGTTTGTCGGAGATATGAGGATATGTCTACGAATATATTGGTCCACAGGAACGCAAAGTAGTGCTGAGCGCTTTCTTGGTAAATAGTTTGTGTGCGAAATGTAAAAACAATTAATGAAAACTTGAAAAGTCGTGTGTCCGTCGAAAATACCGTGTACATTCCCAGTTTTTCTCGTGATACATTTCTGTTACTAACCTATCTCATTTGTTTTTTGTTTAGAATTGTTCATTTAAGAATTGATTAGTCATCGATCCAGATGAGCTTCTTTTTAACGCGGCGTAGAAAATTTGTAAGGTAGTGAAAGCACCTACATCCCACTGGAATAATATTATGTTCATCGGTGCCAGATATTGAGTCGGATTGTTTTTGTTGACGTCTTCGGGAACGCAATTTGCAAGCTACAAAACAATGGCAGGTTAGTGACAGCGTTAGCAAACGAAAACGATTTGGGTTGTGATGTAAAAACGACTTGTATAGCATACTAACCATGCTATCTTCTAGCACGTACAATTTTGCTCAGCAAATTGTATATTTATGTCATTGTTGCTACTTTTTCACATAGCATACATTTATATATGCAGTGCTGATTGTCTGTGCTTATGACCAAGCCGCTGCTTTTAGCACAGAAGTCTTTGTGAGCTTTTCATAGCGCACAAAAGTTTTGGTAAAGTTATGTTGTCGGTAGACACGACGAAGAATACTATTTAGTACTTCTAGCTTCACTTAGACAGCTGTTAGTAAAGATCTTTGTTTGTCACCTAGGGATTTAGTCTAGAAAATTTGCATCCTCCATAACAGATACTCACTTTAATACATAACCGAAATATGTGCTTCGCGAATTATGTAGTAATAGTAGTTAAAGGAGGGTCCCCAAAGGAAACAGTGTTCATATTTGGGTGCTATCTGTGTATCATATTAATTGCGATTTGGCCTATATTGTTATTCATAAACAAACGAGTCGGAAACATTTTATAGTGAATGTTGCTCTTTTTTCAAATGCCATATTTAAACGTTCCCAAGGATCGGGCGCCATTGTGTCGAAGAAGACCGTCGGAGATGGCTTTGAATTGGAGTCGCAATTTATTTTACGCGTGCCATCAGCAGTCGCCGATGATTTACGTGAAGCGGTGCGTCAAGGCAACTCAAACCTTAAGGAGCGCCTAGCCATTTCGCTCGAGTCTACCAACCGGACGGGTCTCGTTCGGTGGGTACCTCGTGTTTATAATGAGATGTACTAAGAACATAAAGCTCAAATTCTGAGCTTGCTTTTACGTTTATATAGATAAATATCTAATTTGTATGTTAATATACGTAAGTGATATCTAATTAGTACTTGCAGCTTCGATGCGACATATCTCTGTAAATAAAATGGAGTAATTGGATTGATCGCAAATGAAGATCCGTAGTAACCTCATTAAACTTGTAGGTTTGATGCTTGGCACCTTCCATCCCGAGTCTTTGATCTTCCTTGTGTAATCGAGTCCCACAAAACACTCGATAGGAGGACCTTCTACAAAACAGCTGACGTCGCTCAAATAATGATCTGCTACGAACCAGGTCTGATCTCTGTATGCGTTCAGTCATTTGGATTTAAACATTGGGCTTATAATTTGAGAATTGTTTTCGATATATATGTCCCATGAATTGTTTCTTAGTACCACTTCTTCGATAACTGAATATATCCACTCTCTGCAAAAGTCCGTCTATTGCGTAAAATTTAGAACGCGTATTTTCATGCTTGTTTGAACGACTTCTAATATGTGATATTTTACTTGCTGAGTCCCGTTTGTGCTCTTCTTTCCAAAAAATATGGGTGGGGTGGATTTGTTGTCTCACGTGTTTTTTTGCTGTGTTTGATGACAATATTTTTTAATTAGGTGATGAGCCGAAATCCGAAGATGAAGCTCCACTACGCAAGCGTAAAGATGCTCTTGCAAAGAAATACTTATTTCCTCATGGGATTACTCCGCCACTGAAAAATGTTCGGAAGAGACGTTTCCGAAAAACACTTAAAAAGAAGTACATTGATTTCCCTGAGATTGAAAAAGAGGTTAAACGCCTCTTCCGAGAGGTAAAAAAAGAAAAGCTTTTTCTTCTGTTGGAGATAGTGTTTATGCTTATAGCTGAGTATGAAATGATATTTGGTTAATTTACTTAACTTCCGATTCAATGACTAAATAGAGTTGCGCAGGCTAATCTACAGCTGATAATTCAATTTCGAGTACATTGTAGGATAATGAAGCAGAAAGCGTGCGTTACGAGGTAATTCGTGCCGAGGACGAAATGAAAACCGATATTAGCGGAGCGATTCAAGTCACCAACCACCCTGGCAGAGATCACGCTGCAGGTAAGATTTTTACAGTTATATAATATGCATTACATTCAAAAAAGGTTCATCTTACGGGATTCAAGATAAAACCTGATATTTATTTTTCAGATACGCAACATTACCGTAGGAGACACGCACACACATAATATATATGTGACTGATATATATATATATATATATATATATATATATATATATATATATATAGTCAGTGAATGAAGATGACGCCGAAAAATGTTACAGAATACTGACCCCTTTCAATTTTTTTTCAGGATCGAGTGGTGTCGGAGATGAGGGCGGTGGCGGGGACGGAATTCTGGACGTCGGTGAGCACGATTTATTTGGCGAGCCGCTCTCATCATCGGACGAGGACAACGATAATCCGACTATAGATAAAGATCCAGATGGGGATGCAGATGGCGAGGAAGGCGACGATGGTGATGATCTGGGCGATGCAGACGGACTGCTCAATGTGAATGTCGATTCCACAGACGACTCTCGCAGCCCTTCCAAGAAGAAATCACTTCTGAGTGGCGTGGGAACGAGCAGCCGAAGCAACAAAGATTCTTTGCTGCAAGAAGGATCGGGAGGTGATAACGATGACAACGCAAAAGATTTTGTCACTGACTTCTCGCAAGGTGAGCATGGCGAAGAGAAATAGATGCCAAAGGCCAGTCAGCGTATCGCTTGAATTCTAGGTGATGTACACTCTTACACGAATTTCTTTAAGATGAAAGTGATGGCATTGAGGTGCTCCAGGATAAGGAGTCATTAGCCTTTAGAAATAATAAATCTACTACCTACTTATTGTCTCATCGGGTGTTACTGTTGGCAGGTCTCGTCGATGGAGAGCATATGGGTGGCGAAGAAAGCAATTTGTCCATGGTTGGCCCTTCGACATCGGAACGCGGTTACGAGGAAGAGGCTGAAGCAGCGCGTGCCCTGGAAACAGATTTTGCCAAGGAGGACGATGTTTCACAGAACACAGGCCTGCTTGAAAGGCTGTCTGAACTAGAACGAGAAATTGCTAGACTGGCGGTCAGTATTTATTTCTGTATGTGTTTTTTTATTTAGTGTAACTCGCATGTATCTAAAAAGAGATATCAATATTTGGGCATAGTAACAGCCCTGCCCACGCTCTAAAAGAAGTAATGTAGTCATAATAAGTCAATTAAGTTCACACTCAAGAGTGTCGACATTGGAAGTGGGTTGTTCAACTATATGCAGATTATAAATTTACGGAAAACAGACAAGAATGCTCTCGGATAGCCACGGTTATATATATATAATTGCTTGATAATGTTGCAGGAGTTACGTCGCGTTCAAGAAGAGGAGATAGCAGGCATCGAGAACATGGCTTTGCGTCAAAGGTTCCAGTCCCTTCTTCAGAATACGAAGCTTGAGCAGGCCGAGAAACAGCGCGAATATGATAATATTGTTCAATTGCTGCATCAAGATTAGTGGCCATTTGAAGCGATACGAAGAAAAACAACAGAACAGACACGTTTCGGTTTTCTCCATTGCTGCAGTCACATAAATGAGAAAAACCTCGCACATTGTATTGTGACAAACATTATATTATTGAAGGAACAACCTGGCCTACTGAAAAGCCGGCATTTTCTAAAATGGCTAATATCGTTTAGTGTTCTTGTGGATCAGGCCACTGAATAACATGCCTGTATAAAACATTTTGAATTCTACCTCTTTACAGTTAATATTTATATTCTTCGCTTGTGAAACGTCATTTTTCTTAATAATGCGAGTATTGAATACATTTATTGGTTTATTAACGATAACTATTGGTTTATTTCTATCCAGAAAATAGAACTGAGAAGCTAGAAAGCAGCTATATTGGGATGATATCTACAGTAGATTGCACAGTTACGTGTGACTGTAAATTACCTCTCTGTCTCATTGTATATATTACTGTATAAAAGATTTGAAAAAAACTGAATAAACGCATATTCGTACTACGTTCTTAGGTTTAAATTTAATGTCAAATTAGTTTAATGTCAAAAATTAGTTACTTTATACGAGGAATCATCGGTGAGCTTTGTTTTGTGGATTGTAACAACCGGGATTGTCGGAATGCACAACGACACAAAGGTCGCTTATCACTGAATCTTCTGAAAAGCGGAATTCAATATCACCTATTTATAAAAATAACAGATTGTCAGAGGAGTTTAGATAAAGGCAAGTGCAAAACGATTTATGTCTTGTGTGGTCTAAAATTAAACTGGTTTAATTTGACGTACCACTCGTATTGCATAGATTACTAGATTATCCAATTTTCAAAGCTATTATTATTATTAGTTTCACAAAATGTACTAAAAGTTTATTACTATTATTAATTTCATAAAAATGTACTCCTGCACCCTATTTCAGATAACTGTTTATGATAAGGTAGCAAAGTAGACCTTCATAAACTCGAAGCTTTATTCAAAACACCTATATAGGTACATGGATCCATTACGGTAATTAAATTACTGACGAATACTCTCTTATGGGATAAAGAACAAAATATTTTGTTTGTGTATGAAATAGAAGAGAAGTCTGTTGCAAAGGTTAGTTAATTCTAATTAATTAATTTATCTAAAATATGGGAAGCCGCTAGAAAGAAACGCTTAATTAACTTATTAACATTGTTAACTCTTTTATATCCTATTTTTGATATAACGTTTTAGGGAGGTCATTTTATCTATTTTTGCCTAAGGACATTTACGACTGTTTAGAAGGACAAACGTGATTGTTCGAGTTATGCTTTTAATTCCAAAAACTTACGGCGTCTATTTATTCACATTAATAAAAATGAACTAAAATAACGATCTATAACATCTATCTAAGAACAGACATGCAAATTTATAAGGGTGTGGCTTCTTCGTACAGTGCGCTTATTACATAATAAAGGGTGCACAACATAATTGTCTTCGCGCTTCTTGACTTTTTAAATAAAATTACGTCGCATTGAAAAAAAAACGTTTTATCGAACACCAAGTACCCCCCTCCCGCCGTCAACATTATGTAAGTTTCCAGTGCAAAACGATGCCTCATCAGATGCTAGGAATGCAATGCATGCGGCCACTTCATCGACGTTTCCAGGTCGACCCAGTGGGTGAGAACGCTTTGAATTTTCCAGGAAAGCGGCATACTGCTCCTGGCTTAGTCCAGCTCGACGTTGAAGCTCTGTAATCAATGCATAAATAACGTTATTACAAAAACTATAGATTCAACAACGTGCTAAATATGTTTACTATGGATGCGGTGTATAATTATTTTATTTACCTCTAACAAATAAAAAAATATAGCTGCAGAGTAACCTCAATCCACACTATGGTATATATATATATATATACAATTTAACTTGAACATATGAACAGGACATTGGAAGCAATCATTTTCGAACGGTTCTCGGAAGTTTTCGCAGCATCCTTGTCAAAATAATACCCGTTTCATATATATATAAAAGGCATTTTAAATTAACTAGGGAATAACTTTTTGACAAGGGTGCTGTGAAAACTTCCGAGAACCGTTCGAAAATGATTGCTTCTAATGTCCTGTTCATATGTTCAAGTTAAATTGCATCCTATTACGACGCACTCGTGAATCAATTACATTGAAATTAAGACTGTGATAAGGGGATAAGCAGTGTCTTGTGAAGAAACGTCCTGAAACAGTTTCTCTCACCTGTAATAATAACTCCTGGGTTAACAGAATTTACTCGAATTCCATCTGCAGCCACTTCAAGGGCAAGAGTCTTTGTAAATTGGTCTAAAGCGGCTTTACTCATGTTATACGCGCACACGCCGGCGAAGGAACGAATTCCATTGACAGATGAAACATTTACCACGTTGCCCTTGGTGGCACGAAGATACGGTATAGCCAATTGCGTAAGATGGAACGGAGTACGGACATTTACGTCCATCACTTTATCGTAAGCGGACATATCGGTCGCCTCACATGTGCCCAGCGTAATCGTTCCTGTCAATGTGGTTGATTGTACAATACGAGTGATAACGGTACATTTGTAAGACTATATATTGGTTGACTAAGAGGACAACATATAATGCTGTCTAAACATAAAAGCTATCAATATACTGGAAAAATGTACGAGAAATACGTCACTAAAGATTGGAATGCTGGAGATTGAGAATCGTCCTCAATATTGGCAGTGTGTCGTTTACCAAACATGTATATATTATTGATCCAAGCGAAAGGTATTGTGCAAAAATAGTGTGTGAAAAACTCAGCACGTAGATTACCTGCTTCTATTATCATAAGTATTTAATAACTGTTTATTCATATGACTAGAAAGCGTCGTTGTCGTTATTATATTTAATAAAAAAAATAACGTTGACTACTCACCAGCATTGTTGACGAGAATGTCAATTCGACCGAATTTTCCAACGGTTTCCGTGATAATTCTCTGTCTGGTGCTTTCCTCTACAATGTCGCCTTTAACAGTGAGAATGTTTTCTTGGGGTAGCCCCGTCTTAACACATTCTTCCACGAGTTTTGCGAGTGCGTCAGCATTGCGCCCAGTCAACGTTAAAGCGGCACCCTCCGTGGCAAAGCGCAAAGCGGTGCCATATCCAATACCTGAAGAAGCCCCTGGAAAAAGAACCATGTATACAAATAAATACTTAGTCTTTGTTCAAAAAGAAAAGATACGTAATTTCTACTGCGTTTTGAGTTTTTCATTAGTAGCTCGCTTGGTGTTAATTTTTGGTGCAGACATATAGTAAACTTCACAAGTTGCTTAAATCGTAACAACCATAATAAAGATTCGATAATCAATTCTAATACATTAAATATTTCTGTTAATTTATATTCGGAATTACTTATATACCCACAGTTTAATGCATTGACCTGCTCTTCGATAGACACTATTGTAACAAAATTGGTACATTGCAAAATGACCGCGTATAGCTCCGTCTTATTTAAGCAGTAGCGTTTCTTACCTCTAACTTTAATTGGAACCGACCTATGTTTTATGCATTATTTTGCTGACGACATACTTGACAAAGAGCATTGTGAACATATAACGAAGTAACGAAATTTTTCCAGTAAACTCCAACTGCCTCGACTAGTATAGTACCCCACAATGCTTAAAAAAATTCATCTTACATTCGAATATATCGATGTTTGTTGCAGCATCTCATAAGTAGAGGTATTGCAATTTGCACTTCTATAGTAACACCGATACATTTGATTCTAAAAAACATGTTCTAATCGGTCCATATTACTGGCAAAGTGTGCACATGTACTTGTCCTCCTAGCGTGTCATATATATAGCGTGCATTAATACAAATCTTGAACAGTTAAATCGATCTAGGAATAATTAGTTACTTACCGGTAATAACAGCAACTTTTCCCGCAAAACGAGCCATTTTAACTGGTACCATGTTACTACGCTGGTGTACTGTTAAGCCAATGCCTTGGTTCGTTTACGGACGGTGACGTAAGGAGTTGAGTAATCCACTTAGATAGGATGGGTAGCGTTATCGGAGCTTCCCAATGCAATTACGCATCGAATCACAGAAAAACAGCGATGCGCAGGAAATTTAACAACAATACAAGACGACGGCACTTAATCACTCTCCACGATATTGGGCTTTTATAGGCCAAAAGTAATCACCTCCTTAATGAGTTTATGCTGTTACCTATTTCTCTACTCTAATCTACCTTTTGTACAAAATATTTCCCTTAGACTTATATCCCTGAACGGGTTCGAATATTTCTGGGTGGCTCGCGAACAGCAAGCTTTATGGCGCTCACTGACAGTAAATTGTTTTGTTTATTTTTAAGCAGAAAGGACGCCGACCTTCCCTTTCCTTCAGCAGACTGGGTGAGTTTGCTGCCCGAATCGGGTAGTGCTTGTCTGGCGGAAAGACCTATTAGGCAGGCTTTGCGGCAAGAGGACGGCTCGAAGGACACTTGACGGTGTTCACTGATATATTTGGTGGCATTTATAAGATTAGTTTTGAGTTTGTCCATTAAACTAAGGTATATAATAGGTGGCCTTAGATCGAAACCAAGTGAAGACACTGTTTCGTGTTGGGAGTCAACTGACTAAAACAAGCATTACTCGACGTAAACATTTGAAACGTTTATCTAACTTACACAATTCTGCATGACCTAAGAGGGGAGGTTCAACATTGCATATAATAAAGTGCCCAGAGATAGTTGTCGTTGTAATTAGTACATGAATGCTAGGCAGCTTTTCCGTGCTTAAACACAATCGTTACTATTGAGTGAGTTGGGTTTCTCTTTGTGAAAAGATAACCATCGTTCGGCTAAGATAACGCCGTGGTAGCTGCAGAGTCTAATCATTGACGCAAATCTACGTTATAATCTTAAAAAAATTTTGAATCAAGTAGAGAACACCAGAATTCATATGAAATTGAGTAAAGTTTCTGCATTAGGCGAGTCATGCGTTAGATAACGTTTATTTGTTACTTGCACAGGTGCAATGCATTGATTACAAAGCAACTAAGTCGACTGATTATAAACAACCGTCACCTTGTACTTAATTGAGTGACACATTCTACAGAGTACATATCTAAATACAAAATAGGGATAGTTTTCTTTATGCTGACATAGAGTGTGGAGACATATGCTATACATAGATGGAAAGCTATACGAGAAGCAACATCATCTATTAAGAATGGCTGTGGCAATAGCAGCGTTGTTATAGCAGTACATCCGTTCTAGACGCAACGCTCAGTCTGCGGTGGAGAACGAAGTACTATTACTATTTGCAAAAGCTAGCATATGGCCAGTAAACATCTAAATGTTTGTGTATGCTGAGATATGGATGTGCTGGCGCTCAGTGATGATGCGAATTCCGAGCTAAGCGATTATACGAAAGTGGCGACGAGTCCATGGCCTTTATCGCAAGACCATAAACCGGCCTTGAAAAAATGTGTTCCTTATCATAACAGAGTGAGTAGGGAACGGGTCAGGTTTTGTTCGGTTCCTACCGTAGAAGGTCAGATCCCCGCTGAATCACTCCGAGATTCCAGCGGTACTTCTCCGGGCAGCGTGAGGACCACCAGAAGCCCAATATCGTTGTCGTGTACGTGATCGTGCGTTCCGATGCAATCGCAAATAGATGTAGATGTGTTCTTCGCTGACCCATAGATTCACGAAGTGGTTATTTCTATAAGAACACATTCGCTTGGCGTAGGTGATATTATTAAGGTTCAAAGCACTTCTAACCGGCCGATTTGTAAGCGAATCAACAGTTCTTACGGTTTCCTTATTAGGTCTTTTTCTTATCAACGGCAAATTATATTTTCTACATATTTCCTGAAAGTAGATTTATACACAAATATAATCATCTCCATTACGATAGGCACTTCGCTACAATTACATTTTAATTATTCAACTACAAGGATATCATCCACGGCCGTTAAGATTTATAGGGTTAATGGACCGATGGATAATAAATTAATAATAACCTTTACCACTTATCCTATGCTAACAATATAATTAATAAAAAATAAATTAATAGAAGCGACACGAGTGTGGTATCCGCTCGAAATGTGCGAGTTTTTAAAGTATTTTGAAGTTTTGTGCCATCCATAAGTAACGAGATAACTCCGAGTTTGGCGTACCGTAGACGGATAAGCGCTGGATAAGAACAGATATTAGTCATTGTTTATAAACAATAATCATTCAAGAGTGCGTTTTTATGGAAGTGAATTATATCCGACTCACATAATGGATAGTAATAAGTTATTTTTGGAATGAGCTTGCCAAGGCTAGTAGGTACTTAATAATGACATTTGGGGAAAGGTACTTGGCATATGTTTAATAATTATATAACGAGTAGTTTATTTAGAGCAGAGCAGTGAAAATATAATTTCCGAAGGCTTACTTACCACAAGCGGAGTGCTGTTTTTTAATAGATTTTCTTCACTTTGCTGCACGAGGGTTTACTTTGATCTTTATATGGCCTTATTTACTAAATATTGACAGCGACTCACGTATAGACGCATAAACTTTTTGATTTATAATTCATATTTCCTGAATCCTCCAGAATGAATTGTGTACCTTTCATCGTCTATATATTTAAACAATTGGCTCATTCCATTTACAGTGTATCGCAATGCGGACGGTACCATATTCCCAAAAAGTTCAGCACTGCGCCTAACAACGCACAGGCTGACTGTAGAAAGCGATGGGAAGGAAGATAGTCGGAGTCCTAGGAGCCCATCTTCACCGTCGGCTTCGACAAGCCGGCATAATTCTTTTGCAATGGTAGCGGAAAATGGCGATAATTCTTTTGATGGGAGAACTGTTTCGCAGGATTGTAGCAGTCCAAAAGGCGGAGGTCGACATATACAAACACGAGAGCTGGCTCCCTCGGAAAAAATAGGTGATGCTGAGCTGCGTCGAGAGGTGTCGGACTTTATTCGATTTGCAAAACGGGGGAACATTTCAAACGGGAAAAAAAAAAACCAATTGGCTCTCGGTAAGCGTAATATAAACTTGGTCATGCACATAGGTGCATGTTTGTTTGTTTTGGACATTCAAGCTTACAATTATTATCATGTTATTTGATTTCCGAGCAAGTGTCGTTAATAATCGTGTGATCTGTACCAACTTACGGGCAACAAGTTTTGGCTACCTACAACTAAAGAAACGATTCGCATCAGTCTACTCATATAGCTAATGATTAGGCAAGTTGATTTCTTTGTCATTTTTTTCCCAACGCAGAGGGTCCAAAAGAGCCTTCGCTGTCCGAAGTCACCAGTTCTGTGCAGGGTTTTGCCGCTACGACGTGGCATCATATTATGAGAGGAATGCGCACACTTGTCGGGATTGTTTTCAGACACCGAAAAGATAGCCATTTCAACACTGCTGACTTGAGCACCATGTGGGTGAATCCTTCCAATGCTAAAGATTTTGAGATTACTCCCGGCTGTCTTCAGATGCGCCATAAAATTGGCGCAGGAAGTTACGGAGTGGTGTATCTTGTCGAGCACAAGGTAAATGACGTGTTCTTCACATCATACATGAAATCACAAATTTTATGCTAATAGTTAATTTTTAACAACAACGCGGACTTTAGTTCAAAACTTGCCTAATGACGGTTAAAGTAAAAAGTAAAAAAAAGTAGGTGAAGCAAAAGCGGTTTAATCTGTATTAACCCGCACTCTATTTTCAAGTGTTAACAGAAGCCGAATTTTTAAAGACTCCGCGTTCAAAAAGGACAGCAATCAGTAACGTCAATCATATTGAGGTGACATATGAGTAATGAGCACTCATTAATGTGAACTAAAAAATGTGTCGATATTTTTCATGCTGATGATCCGTTTCCATCAACTCTAACATAATATTATAATAATGCTTGTGTTGTATTAAAGAAAACGTGGGCAAGATATGCCATTAAGTGCGTGCGTAAACGAAGCGGCAGAAAACAGGCTTCTTTTTTAAAGCGCAGCGAAACCGAATTTCATGTCTGGCGGGAAACTGGAAGTCATCCAAATATCATATCACTTATCGCAGCATTTCAAACCCGAAGCGCCTTTTGTTTTGTCATGGACTTTGTATCGACCGGTAGCCTTAGTCTACTACTATCGCGACAGGGTACAGCTTTATTGGAATTGTTGAAGTTGTTTTTCACTACGAAGCTGATGGCATGAGTCCACTCCACTCTTGAGAGCAACTTATTTGTGTTAAATTGATAAAGATAGATCGGATAGATAAGATAGGAGTTAACAATTTCCGGTTACTAAACAACGAGCCATTCCTAAAGCTTTGAAATAGAAGCTGACGTTTATGTTTCGCAATAATGCACTGAAACATTTGTCCTGGAAGACAATTATGATGTATTTCACTGAAGTTTTGGCGGTTCGGTGATGGTTTTCCCCAGATAAGCCTCTAAGAGAAGATGAAATTAAGCGTATGGCATCGCAGTTGGCCCACGCCTTGTACACTGTTCACCGGCTAGGATTTCTTCATCGCGACGTCAGTTGCTCCAATGTTCTCGTTACAGCAAAACACAACGTGCTTTTAATTGACTTTGGCTCAAGTGTTATTGGTAATACGGCCACATCGAGGGCCGGGACGCTAGCGTACATGGCACCCGAGGTTAGTAAACGATACCTTGGTAAACGATACGAATATTGGAGCTCTTAATTGACCTGATTCTCGAAAAAACGCGTCTTGCCTGTTCGTTAAGCTGAGGTATCTTAAGTGTCTCTTCGGAATATTTAAGAAGCTTATAAGCGATTGCGAGTACAACAATTTACCAGTAAAGAGACTTCAGTCAACACAATTATAGCAGATGTCAATTGAGCCTTATGTGAAGCATCCCCTCATAGTAAGAATTAACTATTGAGGCTTAGAAATAGATAGCACATTTTACAGAGCAGGCGTTTAAACGTTAACCGTTAAATGACTACCGTATTTTAGGTGATCTATTGATTTACTGTTTGCAATTGCCGGTCACGTTAATTGTTGTTGTGATATCGATTAATTGTAGGCACAATTAAGTGACATGTATACGTAGATAAAGGTAACGAATTGAAACGATTTTATCTTGACTTGTTTAAAAAAAAAAATGAATTTTTTTTTGTTCAGAAAAATCTCTGCTTATCTATTAGCAGCACGATTTTCTTAGTTTGCAATGGCTTACTAGTTAACCACTAACTGCGTCGTTATTGAGTCAGCTTTGAAGTATAAGATTAGGCTATTTTTCTTTTTACTGGAATTACTGGGAAATCTCCCACGGTATGTGAGTTCTTTGCTTCCTAATTAGCTGACACTTGCGTACGAATACAGCATCTGCTATATCAGTGCGGTGCAAAAAAGGTGTATGGGAAAGGGATGTACAAGCATTGTGGCTGTTACCGATTTGTTCCAAACATCTGACTTATTTATATAGCCTCCTATTAATCACTTGGTCATTAAAGGTGCTTTTTGGGTTCATATTTTATCAGCGTTGTAATGCGCAGGATCACTGCGTGAATATTGACAGCTTGCTGTGAGCGCATATGTTTGTATGTCTTCCATTACGTTTGTTATATTTCTTGACGAAAAGGTTATCCAATTTTAAGACACAGACCAATTTTACGAGAGTTGCAACCCGTCATGAAAGCCCGGCTTGATCATCTAGAAAGCATTTATTCAAGCCACCCTAGTTTGTACTAAAGTAATATGTTTGAATATACGATGCACGTCTAGTCTCTTTTGTCCTTTTTGCACGAGCCTGCATTTCTCATATAATTATCAGTTGATTGAATATGATATTCGTGTGCGGTTGAGGTGTTAGCAGGACGGAGTTCTGGACCCGGAGCTGACTGGTGGTCTTATGGAATCGTCCTTTTCGCCCTTTTCGAAGGAACCACACCTATGCACATTTATGCCAATAGGTGTAAGATAGATCTGCGAAAGCTCAGCCTAAGAAGCAGGTAGGAATTTACTTGTGCTCATAGAGGAATTCTCAAACCGAAAATGACTCGAAGTAGCCAGCGAAATTTTGTATGGCAATGTCGTATTCATTTTTTGCAACGAACTAACAAAATGCTTGCCATAATGTCGATAAATATCCTGAAGAATAAGAACATTGTTTTTTGCTAGAGGCTATGGAAAGACCACCTGATTAAAAGACCAGCTGCAATTGTTTTTGATAATTCCGCTATTTTAGGTTTTCTGTAATGAAGCGTGTGAGCGTCCCGATTAGCCCATTGCTCCACATGGACAAGAGAAACCTGCTTAAGGACTTCTTGCGCGAAGAGCCCAAGGTCCGACTTGGTGTTCGGCGTAAACAGGACTTTAACCTTATTAAACAACATGCGTACTTCGCCAATGTTAATTGGAGACCCATGGACGAAGCTTTAGACAAGATACTTCGCCGTAAATACAATCTTCCAATGGAAAATGAGGATGAGCCCGTGTCAAGGACAAAAACTATATGACAAGAATGTACCCTGCAAAAAGAAACTGCAGGAGATCTCTGACCGACTGTACTATATTTATTTATAATCAAAACAGTAATTCGTAATTCGCAAGCCTGACTAATAGCGACATTGTAGTAGTTGTGTATAAAATGATGTAGTGATGCGCGGGCTATGCTTGCAAATGTCTGTGAATATTATTTAATAATGTTGTAAGTATGAAATAATAATCTGTTTTCTTCCTCCATTGTGGGGTGCCATCTACCGATTGTAGTCTCTTGATTTTTCTGATGCAGCTTACTGACAGCAGGATAGCCGATGCTAGTAATACCATCGTTTTCAGGAGCGTTTTATAGCTAGCTTGACTCTAGCTAGCTTAACTGCCGCGAAAGACGCTCGCTCACTCTATCGATAAACAAAATCTTCGGGCATAGTCACCGTTGATTAGATGCAATTATTATTTTATGTTAGGATGAGCAGTACATCTCCCTTTTAATATTTCAGACATATATTATGAATTTGGGTGTTTCGGTCTGAAAAGAATACGTTTTAGCAACGATGATACCTCGAAGTGTGTGATAAATTTATTATGCGAAATACGTCAAGGAGGTTCCAGGGTCTACGACATTTTCTGGGTTGGTCTGTTTTCTGTATAGTTTTACGGTAGCCTACGAAACCCAGTAGTGTAGAGATTACAATAGTTAGTAGCTGCTGGAGCAAGCTTACATAAAGCCAAACCTTATTCTGATCGATTTTTGTAGTGCTGCATAATCTTTATGCGTTTTTGCTTTAAATATCTTCCTTTATTGTTCATCCTGTCTGTCATGCTCTGCCAGCTTCTCACCATTGCTCATGTGGCGAGCATTGCCCAAGCCGAAAAATTTGACGTCGATCTTAGTATTGCTCGAGGAGATCATAGCCACTGCTTCGGCGATGGCATTCTATTCGGTTTCACCGAGTGGAGATGATATTGCTCACCAGCCTCTGGCTAGCCCCTCGATGAGTTCCACTGCGGTCATTGTTGGTCAATAGAAATGCGACTTCGTCGATTTCGATCCATAGCGAGCCGTATGTTGTACCCGATCGTTGAAGCTTTTGCGTCAGTCGCCATCTTCCAGCCTGCTATTGCTGTGGCCCACATTTCCACAATACCTATCGGCCGCGCCGCCGTCGCTCTTTCGTTGGGATTCTCGGTTGTCGCTGTTGCGCCTGCGCTCTTTCTTAAATATCAATCGTCGCTTCCGCCTCTGCCATTTTAGGTGGTGTTTGCCTGCTGTCCCGCAGGAAAGTGATAGCATGAGGGACATATCTGGTACAGAATGCCTACTGGTCCAATCACGCGGATGTGTATATTACTCATGTAGGTGATACTTTTAAACCAATTGATAATACTACTGTAGCATGTGCGATTAGTACTAGAAACAGAAATGAAGACATGAAGCAATTGAGACTGATATTGGAATGCTTTTAGTTCATTTACTATATATGAACATGATGGATTTGGTCGTGATATATTTAACGGCTATGGGGGAGGGAAGGGGGTCATTATGATCCTACTGGTCCTTTTCGCGTCTTGAACGGAAACTTTGGTAACCTGTTATTCCACTATTGAATATAGTTTGCATAGCAAAGTTTTGTGTACAAAACGTTTCACCACCGCGTGTGAATTGCGAGTGCTGTAACATGGTGGATAAGATAGGTTAGGGTAACAACTAAAGAGAACCTTAAGAGGCAACGATGATAAGTTTACTCAGCTTATTTATCCGGCACATAAGGCTCTAGTTCTAAAGCCATAAATTTCTTTTCAAAAACCTATATAATAGGCTGGTCGTTGATTCACTAAATCAACTTATTTTAGCCACGTCTGATGCCCTTATTGAGCTCACTGCAGATGTGGATGAGATGTTTTGTATTTTTGTGACATCTCACTAGAACGAGATACGGCCGATCACAATCCCTGCTAATAAATAACAAACCTGTCCTATTAATCTCTCTTTTTTCGTGTAATTTAATTAACAATTCAAAAATGTAAAGGAAGGCACCGTCGTTTTCTAGATATGTGTTAGCGGATGGATGATATACTGTGTATACGTAATAAGTACGTCGATTTAAACGATTACCGAAAATACTAGTTCAGCGCCTTCTTTCCGTTACTGAAGCGCTATGGAGTTCTAGTAAGTTTCGTCACGTAATAACCGCCCAAAAATATCGCCAAGCTCAGTATTCTATTTGGGCTTATTCCTGCTAAATGCGATAAAAGTTTAAACAGTGATATTTGTAATCTTATCTTTTAAGATACAGGATCGTCTATATTGGGAATAATTCGCCTTGCCGTCATGATGAGTGAAGAGGGGAAGTGGACGAGTTTGATCAATTACCCAGTGAGTAAACGAATAAATTATTGACTAACTTGAAATCTTAAATCGTCTGAATTAGGGTGCTTGAAGCCGTTTTGTGCGCAAATAAGTAAAAAAAAAAAAGCAACCTGCACCTGGATTAAGCGTTCTAAATAGGTCTAATTTGTATACGTATCAAACGATTAATAGAGCCGATGCATATCCAACTGCTACTTGTGTCTGAAGCCCTTTTTAAATTACCTTCGGTGCTTAGCCAGCGCAGCCTTTTCCCCATGGTTATGCGCAGCTTATCAATATTGAATACCCGGAAGTTTGTCTGGCACTCGGAAGCAGTTTACCTGGGTTACCGTTCCTCCAGAACGCTCTGTAAAGATTTGCTTTCACAATCTAAGCAATTGTTTATTCATATCCAGATCCATCAGTCGAATAGCGACCCGTGGCTGATTCTTTGAGGCATTAATAATTGGCATGTGCACTTTTACAGCTACTTGATTGTATGTAGGTCATGCTGCCTTGTTATAGTTACTCAAACTTCAAAAACAAGTTTCCCTAAATGAGCCACCACGTTCCTACGTGCCGTCTTACTGACGTCCGCTCTTTGCAGAAGAGATCAAGGTCGTCCCCTAGATATCGAGGAACTTTCCCTGTAGATATTATGAACGGACTCTTTTTTATAAGCATGTTGAACCCCAGGTAAGTTTTGACCGCGTAAATGTTGCACTGCATTCTAAGCCCTATAAAAATTAGTGCGTGTGCCGAGTAATTAAAAGATACGTTTACCATTAGTTTGCGTAAATATGAACCAATAGGATTTGAAATAAAGCTGCAATGGACCTTTCTACTATTTTTTGCTCAGAGAACCAAAAGAACTTGGATTGTAAGAATATAGCTCTCTCCTCAGTTATGTAATTATAAGTTAAACCTTAATCTTAATCTAAGGCGAAGAAACGAAATATTGCTAAGGGCACGTTAGTTTGGTGTACGACATACCTACAATATAGAATTAGGTCGAGTTGAAGATCACACATAGCGGTTTGTCGGTTAGCGTATCCGCTGGACACGTACGTGTTACGCCCTTCAAAGAGACTGCGGGGAAACTGAGGTTAACTGTGTACAAGCTACAGCCCAGTTTGTTCAATTGCAAAAAATACAACTCTTATGAATGATCACAGTAAGCGTTATCGACACGACTAGCGGTTGATCGTTATGTAAGGTGCAGATGAGAGCCTGAAAAATACAGCATTGTCTTATTAAAGCACTAGTGGACCTTGCTCAGGGAAATTATGAGGTTGGAGTTCACCAAAACACTGAGGTTTTCTCACTGATACTGTGAATCTATTTGCTAATTAGCGAATACTAATAAAAATCATAACAAAGATTATAATGATAAAATTACGATGGTGATTCAATAACTTAAAGACGTTATGTTTAGAAAAGGGCTAAGCGATGTATTACAAAATTTACTTGGAGCTATCATAGGAAACAAAGGGTGCTTCAAAATAGAGAAAAATACTTCAATATGTTTGTCAAAAATGCTTCTACAATGTGGTCGAAATGGGATCTGTATAATTAATTCAATCCCGAGAAAATGGCAATTGAAAAGATTTGGGTCGTTAGCCCGTATAGTTTTACAGGGTGGGGTTACATGTGCCAGATGTCGAACTAAATAATTAAATAACGAGTTAATAAAACTAATATTTTTTGCAAAGGGCTTAGGTTATGGCTAGAAAAGCTAATGCTTTATCAAGTTAGGTATCAAGACTGAAGATATGATTCATCTAAAGTACATCCATTTGAAGTTAATATATTGAAGTTTGAAACCGGCTTTTGAATAGCTCAGATACTGCGAGATAGAAGAGTTGCATTTTATCCCAAAAGAGAGCAGGAACAATGGCAGAGAGCGCACCGTACTCAAAGATAGCCAGACTAAAACGTGTACATCGATTGTAGTTATGTATGATCCTAGTGTGATTATCGAAGAAAAATTCTGATCTATGGGTATGATTATCCGCAATATGGTGCAGATGTCGACAATGCTCTTTCGTTGAAAAGACGCGTGATACAAATGAGATCGTCGACACTTCTGTCAAAACCGACTATATGGGATAGGCTGTTGACAATAACAATGTGTGGTACAACGAATTCTCCATAAAATTAGCATCAATAATATTCCTCCTTCTATTCTATATATCCCCACCTTACGCACAATGTAACTCTATATATAATGACTTCAGTACAACCTAACTTGCTCCCAGTTTGCCTTTGGATTAGCCAAAATTAATGTAAAAACGGACTGATCCTATGGCTATTTTTCGTCAAAGAAAATTCAATCAAATGCGATAAAATACATAATTGTATTGGTCTGCTAACGCAAATTTTACGATTTCTTTAAATTTTTATTTATTTATTTTTTATTATTTATATTATAATTTTTTAGTTACTTTTAATGTGCATTTAAAAAGTATCCAGAAAGCGAACTGCGCTTTCGTATGGACCCAAGGATTGATAACGCGAACACGGATATATGATGACAAAGTGAAAAATCAGTGGAATGCTTTTCTATCAGGCTTAAATTTCGTTTACGGGTTCAGCTTACTTAAATCCGATCGGTTAGATACAACAAAAATGAATTAACCTTTAACGGCCATTAGGGTCTTCCTATTTCTATTAGTTCTCATCCATTTATTTGCGGCGAACCTTTATGTTTTATTGATTTTCTCCAGTTTGTTATAACCATTTTATGGTAGCAGCATGGCACCATTTGGGGCATGGGTTTGATTACTTATGGACTCGTTGATTCAATTTCTGATGAATCGAAATCATTAATTCATTCGAAAACGTCCAGAAAATTCTGGATAAAGCCTGTCAGCGCCAGTTCTTTGATGTGGGCAATTGATCAATATGAGGGGGGTGCCGGATCTATATAACTCGTATCAATAGTATACCACGAACGATATAAGTTTAGCTCACAATAAGTATGTTTAAGTTCAAATGATAAATAGGTGATTAGAGTTATGAAAATATGATAAACTGAAGAAAGCTGTCATCCAGTATTTTATTATCACTGTATTGGTGTCGAGTGGTTAGGTACGCTCGACCTGTGTGGTAAGGCGCAACACTGCACATCATATTTTGTGCAATAATTACCTTTGCATTTACACTTCTCACAAATTTCCAAAACGACGTAAAAATGTCACCTTCCTCGGTTTACATTGGACTTTATAGGGAGGTTTTGTACATTTCAATATACCTATGTTTCTTTTAGGTATGTCCTTTTGAACAATTGCTTTCTCGACAGCAAAAAATCACAAAAATCAAGATGGTATGAACATAGGTACAAACTCTGATTTAATCTAGAGTTGGCGAAAGGTCAAGTGTGGTTATAATTCGAATTCTGAAGACGATACAGATGGTATTTATAATAATTATTGTTAGATCGGATCAATAACTGAATAGTAAATAATAAATATCGTAAAATAATCATTATAATTATTATGAACCTATGGTCTTAACTAATTTGAACTAGGCTACGCTAGTCGCATCGGGCCGTCATCACATCCTTAAAAAGAGGCTTTAAGACGAATTTATCAACGTGGCTGTTTAAGGATTTTGTTTAATTGTTGATATTACGTAATACTTCCTATCTAAAGTATGTTGCGAATGTTTCCGCGCTAGCCATACCTCGTAAGATGTTTGGATGTAACAAATGGACATTGTTCTTCTTCACAAAATTCTCTATCCACTGGCATCTGTAACCCGATTTTCTTTTGTTGATCACTTTCAAATAGTACTAAAAAATTGTCCCGTTAATAAGTTTCTCCTGTAATAAGCGTCCTAATGTCAGTTCCAGTTAGTATGGCATTAATACACATATACTGTAACAATGAATTCATTTGACGCGTGTTGTAGTTTGTGTCTTTAATGATCGATCAGCGAACGTTATAGCACAGTTGCCATTGCATATCTTATTTTCGAGCTTCTGTTCATAGGCTGAAACATCTACGGCTCTTGCCATCTTCGACTCAAGTAAATCGATGACTGAAGTGATGCGATTATTATTAAATGGGTATTGTTTATTTGTTTATGGTATACGGTGATTGATAGCAGTTAGTTAATAACTGAAACGAAACGGGAAAAAAAAGGTGCAGAAATGCTATAAGACTATTCAGTTAATTTGATTTGATTCAACCTTATCCTGCCTAGAATAAAGGACAACCAATTTTTTCCACTGCGGATAAAATTCCCTGATAACACCTCATGCAAATCAATCATCGCGTTCGACTTAGAATTCCTGCATTAGCCCTACTCATCTCAAAGGTGCGTTTATATAGCCCGGAAACAATTGCTGATTAACTTCAGTAATCTTATGCATATGGACGCATCGGTAATGGATGTGGATGGAAGGCATTAGTAAGGATATCCTGGATACCCTTAGATTAAAACAGGCGGGTTGAAAAATCAAACCATCTTTAGGAAAGCTTTAAGGAGGAGAAAAGAATATTAAGAAGCGGTAGGCGAAGTTCAACAAAGGCTACCGATTTTTTTCAAGTGTAACATCCTTTTCGAAATTAATAGAATGCACTCCTGATTTATTAAGTTAAGTTTTTTGTTAACCTAGGATCACAGCTCTAATAACAAACCTTTGCTCTGAGGGCTAACAAAAAGGTTATATGGGGTTATGGAGGCTTTGGTTTGTGGTCGGTAATAGTCCCTTTTGTTCGTTGTTGCCAATTCGAATTCGTATCCAAATTTGAGGCTCGCTATGATTCTGCAGAAGAGATTACCCATAACCCTGTTCTAACGTAATTCGCTAAGTACTCTAGGAGTTTTCTAAGTGCGAAGTAGCAACATGAACGGTTGCGTTAGAATGAAGCGGACTGTATTAATTCGACAAAAAGAATAAACATAGAACGTATTCTACTTTTCATTGTATTTCCAAAAAGAGTTTCCAGCTTCTGTTTTGAGTGGAGCCGTGCTAAACTAAAAATGCATTGTGTGAAAGACAGAGTCATCTGTTATCAATAGAGAAAAATAGAAAACTCAATAGAGGATGTTCGTGTGTAGTGAACCGGATGAACTTTCACATAGGTAATGTCCCTGGCTGCCTGAAATCGGCAGCTTATGCAGTTGCTAGTAGTCTTCGCGCGGCTTTTAAAATGTTCGAGGGGAGTTTCACTAAGCAAAGCGGAGTATTCACAATAAGTGTTATATTAAAAAAAAAAAACTCAGAAATAAAAAAAACAGCTCAAAAAAACCATTGGGAATTTCGATAATGGCTATTCCCGAAAAAAATGAGTACTTTCTTCAAACTGGATCGTCCAGATAAACTGTAATGATATTAATTTTTAAACTTAGTGCACCTTTCGAACGTTTCAGTGGATTTCACCCCCTTATATTTTTGAAGAATTTTGACGGACTGTCAGTCTAAAATTTAAATCGGCTTAATTTTTCTATGTCTGGCTATTTGAGCTAATCTTTCTAATAACTTCCTTTACATACTGTTGTTGTTGAAAAGTGACTTGCAAATTCATGAGAATTAGGTATTGGACTGAGACTATTTTCGGAACTGAAACATTAAACAACATACAAGGTATCCAGATGACATACGTAACGTAATCATAATGAAAGTTATTGCTAAATAAAAGATTGCAGCAATTTGTATGTAGTAATTTCACCAATACCAATGACATTTATTTCACCCTAATTTTAAGAAGGATACGAGTAAAGCTCTAAACGCGTGATAAGATATAATAAAAAAAATTATATATGTATGTATATATATATGGTATAAGAATAACCAACGTGCTGAACCCCCTAGCTAGCAAGGAAATTATCCGAGCTGAGTGTACCGAATGGGGTTTGGTACCCTTCGGTAACCGTCTTTGGGACAAAAAAAGACAAGCCAAAAAGCCTTCGTTGGTTCTTATGGCAGTAAGATGAGCAGGCCGAATATAGCTGGCCGGCTGGCCGACCAGACATCAGATTCTGTAGCTTGCCTCAGCATGTTGTGTTGATAATTATTTACTTTATGCAGGTGCTGATATATATATATATATATATATATATATGCGTTAATCTGAATATGTAGCAATAATACTACTCAGCATCAGTCTTGAATAAATTGGTTTATACAGAGATAGACGCACCAAACGCATGCACCCCTTTGCATCACCATATCATCGATTGAACTGCTCAAAGCCCAACTAAAAATATCAAAAAAGCGACATTTCCGTTTGAAAGAGGCGCGCGTCCAACTTAACCAGATCACACGTATCGGAAGCCAGCATTACATAAACACGCAATCATACGCAGCACTTTTGCGGCTAGTATAGTATTTATGTAATTTTTATAATAGGAGCTACCCTTCTTCTTTCTATTATGATGTTTGGCGATAACTTCGCTCGTTTACCATGTTCTTCTCACGATTTTATTCATCGCATATAAAAATATTCTGCCCGTTCGTTCCTTACCATACCTACTAGTTTTATAGCTCTAGACTTATTTATACATATCAGCATCTTTTTATGGTACTATCTCCTGATACTACTGACGGAAGGAATCGATAATGGTCGATAGCGATTTTCCCGAGCCATCTTCTATTGGGCGATAGGGACAGGGAGTATTTGCTGGGCTGCCGGTTGCTGGCCGTGACAATAACGGACATTCTTACTATACATACTTTACCTATTTTTTTTATGCCAAAAAGCTTTTCCTTAATTCTTAATATAGTAGCCTTCGATTTCTTGCATTGCACTGATTTTTTTTATTGATTTTATAACCCCTTAATATATATATATATATATAATATCCTTCTGTAGCGTACCAGCGCTTTAAGCTGTTTTTGTTGTATTAAAATCAGTTATTATCGCGTGTTATTTATTGGTATCTGTATCAAAAAACCGTTGATTCGATTATAGCGCTACTGTCGTCGTCCTCCTGAAATTGTTGGATGTTGATTTGTTGTTGTCTAATTTCTTACCGTTGGACATCGTATTTTACTTAATGTGATGAAAATTTTCAGCGCCTCATGCTTATTCCACATCTCTAGCATCGGCCACACTCTACATACTTTCTACTACATGGTTATAGTGTCTTTTCACTAGGGAATTTCTCTTAACATTTTGCTTACCCGAAACATTAAGACATAATAACTCAGTCAACTGATAATTGGGCCTGAGTTCAACTGTGTGAACATGAGCGGTATTAGCTGATTCATAACTCGTTTCCTATAAAGCCAGGGTAAGAGCCGACTTACACACAAACATCAAGATGATAATGATGATCTAAATGTAACGCAATTAGAGCCGGGGAAATGCCCGTTTTACGGGGACTGCTTCCGCAGTGTATTGTCAACAACGCAATCAACGGGGGGCATGTAGTAATCTAGTAACAACAACCACAACAACAACAACAAAAACATTAATATCAACAACATTAGCAGTAGCGGTAATATAGTCGTTGTCGTTATCCTTTGCATTCACCCTTCGTTTCGTGTCTTTCACCGCATCTCGCGCGCATCTCTTGGGTGTTTTTTTTCAATCTTTTCCCTTTTTACGGGTGACACACCTAACTGCATCACTAGCAATAATAACTAAAATATTGACTATGTCAATGGCCGACCCCTTCGGCGGTCCACGGGCTTCCTCTTGACCCTCATACCCGTCCCCCGAAAAGTTGTCGATCAATATGCCTCTGTGCGAGTCGAGCTGCCGGGTCGGACGTAACCAACCCGGGTAGTTCAACTATCATTACGATCATCGTCGTCGTTGAGCGTCGTTTAGCTGTCGTCACGCCGTCATTGATGACGTGCAGACGTCGAAGAGCACCACAGGCCGATGCACGTTACCGAGGAGATGTCGGTGGTAATCATTCGCGATGCTGATGGCGAAGTTAATGTTGATACTGGCGGCGGTTCATTCCTGGTCTAGCTAGTCTTTTTTCGTCTCCAATCTTTAACTGCTCAGTTCTTTCATCTTCGACCTACTAAAACTGCTCAGTTTTTTTGGATTCTACTATTACAACTATGGCGCGATCTCCTATCAATATTGGTATATACATATATATGTTTATGTATATAGAGGTATTTTTTGTTTGTTCAACGTATCAAAATATGCCGATTCTTACCTCACTGCCGCCCTGTGTACCTGGCTGCACCCATAGCGTGCTCACGACAATAGGCCAGACACAATGACACCTATGCACTGTATCGGCTATTACAGCCAATGGTGCTAGAAACGCGATGGGAAAAGGCAACACAAAAGTGGTTGGAGATATTTACATATTACTGCAACGAAGGCTGTTTGACTTCTTATTATTTCCTGCTCCCCCAGTCTCGGTTTTTTCGTCTCTGCATCTTTTTCATCGCCAGCACCTTATTATTATTATTATTAATATTATATATAATATACATATATATTATGGTTGTTGCGACAATGACTAATAGTGGTAGATTTTCGTTGTCGTTATTGTTGTATGAATGCCCGCGCTGAACGAGGTTGCAGGTAATGATGGCATCAGCGGGTAATGCACCGCCAAATCGGACAGACCCGCGTTCGATGTGACGAGTAAACACGACCAGCGGATGCGTTCCTTCACCTGACACCGGACGTTACAGCGTGGCACCGTACACCGTCACCGCCACAAACTCTAGGAAAGACTGATTTATCTGACTCCATTGAAAAATCGTTGACACGCGCAAGATTCATCATCGCCGCATGGCGATGGTAACATCGATGATGGCGTCAAGTGGGTTGTGGGAACATTGTTTGTCTTCGCTTTGACAGAGGCGGCGTGCTGCCAGTGTCAACAGGATATCGTTACCACACAGAAATTATTTTTATCGCCAAAAAAAATGGTCGTCGCTGATTGGGTCGAGACACGAAGGCAAAAGAGAGCGTTATGAAAGATCATTTTTGCATAGAGAAAGATAGGAAGACGAAAGGGCGTGTGCACGCCAGGAAATCGCGACGATCGCTTATGCCAGTCAATCTGTCCATTAGTATCTCATTGATCAATGTCAATAACAACAGCCAAGTATTAGTCAATCGGGAGTCAATAAATCAATCTAACAGTTATTAGTTGTCTATGGTCTTGTGCAAGGGGCGATTGACGTTACACGGTTATCGACTAGGACGCACACATATATAATATATATATAAACTATAGTTATACACACGTTGATGATATGCTAAAATACGTTCGGCACTAACGTATGATGTTTGCTGAATGTCTCTTTTCGTCGAGATGACACAACGATAACTATTCGTAGGCCTAGCAATCCTGCAATTTCGTTTTATAATAATACGTAAAGTTTTTTAAACTTCAGTGCGGCCGCTGCTGAATATGGTAGCTTGTTGTACTGCAGATGTCACCACTCAAATGTAAAGACAGTTGAAAGTATGCTCACACGAGATCACACACATCATTACGCCAGCGTTACAGTAATTCACTATACAAAAAGACACCTATCGTTAGCGTCGTTGTTGAATGTTCGTGTCCGGAAACTGTTGGTCGCCTCGGGACAGATTTGTCCAGTTCCGTAGGGAGCGATTCTGATACCCTGCCATAGAGGAATGACAGACCACCAGGACGACAACGATCGCATCGCAATTAACAGTTAGTTACACAATAAGATTGCTTGGTGGGGTTGAGTAACAGCTGTCAATGATAACGGTAGAGCGTTCGAAATTGGGCGAGTTGTTCAGCGGGAACTTGCAGCAACTGAAGATGGCCCGTGGGAATGAACGGCTGGCTAGACTGGTAGTGACGAATCATGTGTTGTACGATACTGCGGCGGCGACGTTCGTGAGCACTGTAAGGGTATGCCCCATCGAAAACGATACGTATTCAGAAGAGCATATTTTTATTTTAATATATTAAATAGATAACAATTCTACATGGGCCGTAAAAGGCACCCCTAGTAATGCATTACAACAAGCTTTTTCGCAGCTTAATATGGTACAATGTCATTGGGAGCTCCTCTTTGTCAAGGGAATTAAATCATTAAAACTTAGCGCAAAAGGTGGATTGTGTTAATTAAAGACATGTCACATTGGGATTGTTACGGTGACGCTAAACTCAGAACCACGAAGCTTCGCACTCAGCCCCACCGGAGGTTGAGCTATTTTCTCGAAATCGTTTGGACACGAGGTTCTTTACGCAAAAAAATTTAGTTCAAAAACTGGGTAATTTCTTAAACGTGGTGTTTAAAACGTATTCGTTTAAAACGCCGAATTTGTTCGTCACCGACTGCTTACATTTGTTCTGATTCTGGCAACATTACCCATATATCCACCAAAACCTCATTCACACAACGCCACAATGTCATTTCTTACACGAATATTGTTGTACAAGGGGAATCACACGAAATTCGAAATGATGGGTACACGAATACGAGTGCAAAATTAGTATTAAAAATTACAGTTAATACACGTTCTAACTGGAGATCGTCAAAATATAACACAGAACTATATTTACATGGCCATACCTTTGCAGTTGGAGCGCGCGGAAATATTGAGCATACTGCGTGGGATCAATAACGCCATTCCTAGTGGCAGCTTGGCCTACAGCAGCTCCGGAGCCGAGGTTCAAAAGCGGTAAAAGGGGAGCCGTCAGCATTTGGGTGATGGAGTTGGTGTTCAACGAAGATCCAGACGACAAAGCAGATGATACCGGCGTTGGTGAGGAAGACGAGAGGGGCGAGCCGAGAAATGTATTCCGAATCAAATGCGTGGCGTTACGAATCATCCCTGCTCCTCCGAGAATCGCCGGCAGCCGGATCGGTAGACGTAACGGTGGAAGCGACGAAAAGCTGTTGTAGTTTAGAGTCAATCAGGAAAAAAAAACTGCTACATTGACTAGATATTCTTTAGTGAATGAATAACAAAATTGTGTTTTGAAATTAATTATAGTTGTAGAGAAATTTACTATTCTACGAGTTAGTATGTAGTAGATGCGCTTTGCTCGACATTTATACAGTTTCGTAAGAATATTACATTGTACTCGATCTCGTAGCAAGTCACCTGATTTGATCAAATTAGCTAAAGTGAGAATAAACGCATCATTTCGCCCAATAATGCCAGTTTTGGAAAAGTCTGTGAAAAACTGTTAGACATAACAATTAGTATTATGAAGACTGGAGTTCAGGCAAGAAGGGTTTCTGCCCCCTGGTTCAAATCTAAGCTCACACATCTTTTAACCAGGTGTATCGGTATGCCTTTCTAAACATTTTTATAATCCAATGGATAGATGTTTTTTTTGTAATTTTTACCTTCGAAATTGTTTCAAGTTTGACTTACTCGTATCTTCATGCAACGTTATGAGATTCCTGGGAAGCATTGGTTCTTTGTTGTTTTTTTTCTACGCATTTGACATCACGTTATTTATGCAGAAACGCTACCAAGGGCATTAACTATACTTAACTTGTTGCAAATCTAATTTTATCGGAACTGTGCGTAATCCGTAGGCAGTTAATCGGAAGGCCTCTTTCAATTAGGTATTAACATATTAGCATAGTATACTCAATGGATCGTAAGGTCTACAACATGGACACGAGTACCCCGCCCTATATTACGCAATGCACGTTTGTACCTGAAGGGTACGTTGAATGGCAGTGGCATGTTCATGATGTGCGAGATTCCCGGAAGGTTGGACAATGATAGACCTTGCAACATCGGCGGCAAAGACGGCAGTCCTGGAATTAGAGGACGGCGCGTACTTTGCGCATCACCATGGCCGACATTTGTCGCTAATATTCCAAGCACGAGGACAACGACAGAGCACGTTGCACTTTGCACACGCATTTTGTGATATCACTGAGAGAACAGGCGATATTCCTTCTGCCAGCAGTAACTCACAGCACTAAAATACACTACACACGATAATGACTGACCTCTGAAGGACCGATGAAGATGTCTGAGAATTAGAAGAAAAGAGAAAAGAAAGCGATAAGGGAGGGAAAGTGAGGCCTCTGGAACTACACAAACCACAAGGATCAACCACGTGCCAATGTGCGTGCCCGACCACCACTAAAGCAGAGTGCGAACGCCGGCGTAAAATCGGCCTCTTTTATCTGCTTTGCGCCGCGCATGCGACGGCGACGCGCGAATCTAGACAGCGTTACCGTTGTCGTCGTCGTCGTCGTCGTTGTCGTCGGAGAATTCCGACTACGGGACTCACCAACCAGCGATCCCGGTATCCGCTGGGCTGCTGTTGCGGTGCGGGCGTTTGCAACGTAAGTGGGCAAGCGGTGCTCTCCCCCGGGGCCGCCCCACGACGAAAGTGCGGTTCTTGCCGGGTGCTAGTAGTTGTCGTTGATAGTGCTGTAGCAGTTTTACGGTGGCGCGCCGATGCAACCGTTGGGGCAGCTCCGAGTGCCATCGGTGAAGCTCCGCATGTTATATGTTACGCCGTCGGACAAACAATCCTCCTACAGGATCATGCTTGTTCCCACCGGCTGGCAATATTTAGGCATGCTTCTGTTCTTGGGAAGACGGATAGGCAGTCACACGCGTATATAGTTAGTGAAGCTTGTAGCCAGTACTAAGAATAATGTTGCACATGCAACAAAGCTCAAACAGCCGATAGTAGCAGCACAGCAAGGCCAACAGTAAGAGATTATAAGGAAGTGTAGTAGCATCTCTCCAACGTAAAATGGAGTTTCAGATCTTGTGGAGATTTCAGACAGCTCGTGCCAATCAAACATGGTATGATGTAATCCTGCGGATACCTAGTGCCAAACCGTTTAGATTTGTGTTTAGACTAACCATATTTAGAGGAAAACATTTACTTTCGCAAATTCGCGACAAACTCTAAACGAACAAATATAATTCAATTTTGCAAATATTTCTTTAAAAGAATACTGGCTTTGAAAAAAATCGTGTTACAAGTTTTTTTTTTGTGTTAAAGGGAAATTTCGAAATGCCTCTAACGCTGCATAATGAAATCTCAGTTGAAGGCGGGCCATTCTGGTCAAATAAAATCTGCCGGTTAATCTTTGAATTTTGTGCGTTACTGGTGAAGTTTCAATTCGGATATCCGGAAAGATTTACTTGTTGATTTTTTATATGAAATGCTTGTTTGTAACAGTTGTTGCCGGACGGGTCCGCTTTCTTCTAAGCGCCTTTACAAAATTGTGCTTAAGCAAACCATCCTAATAAGGCATAAGCGAATTTCAGCCGTGGTGCTTTTTTGAAAAACACAGTTTTTCAACTGCCAGGGATGACAAAAACAGCATAATTAAAAAATACGTTATAATTGCAGGGAGCCTGGGAGGTTCATTTTCATTGAAGGTACCAGCAGAATCCGAGCCGCTCGTTAGGCCCTCGGGGATTCCGACGTAAGAACAGATGGTCTATCAAAAAATCAGTCTATTTTTCTACACGTTACTTGGGAATCTATAATTCAGTTGTCACCAATGAAAATCGAAACTGAATATCCGATCGACTGAAATACTCCGCTTTTCCAAAATTTGCTATTGAAAACTGGCCATGAGCAATCCTACCGATGTTATACTGCTTAGCTAAACTACCGCTACCAGTGTTTTCTAGTGCTATGTATTACGCAACTTACGCTCTATACAAGTGGTCTTCTATTTACTAACACGAACAACCCGAAGTACAGCCGCTTGCCTAAATGGCAAACTCTTATATGACACTGCTTGGCTCAATTCATCCGAGTAAAGATTTTACTCTTTAAAGAATGAAGCACAGCTGGCCCGAGCTGGTTAAATTGACCGTGAATAAAATGACCATTTCATTAGCATCATGATTATTGCCTCACAAGTTATGTGTATTTCCGGTTATCTTCTCATCTCCCACTTAGCTAGTAGCAATAAGAATAGTTCTACCGTTCATCATACTATTAGCTAAGGCGGAGGTGAGCATGGACTAGATTCGTTACCGCTGGTTAAGCGCGCACGAGTAATGAAATTTTCGATATACACACGCTTGTTAGCATCAGCCATCACGATGACGATGGTGATGGTAGTGACGGCATCAGCGAAACAGACTATTTCGCTACTCGTTGACTTCTTCATGAACGACGATGCCCACAACACCAACACGAGCGGCGGCAGCAGCAGCAACAACAGCGACGAACGTAAAGACCCCGACGACGATCAAGCCGCAAACTGAACGGGACGAAATCACCAAAGCATACTTCTAGAACGTTACTCATCATTGGCTCAAAATTGGTCCCTTTTTCGTCCAGACCCCATGCAGTGGTACCTGTCCAAGCAGCTACTGGCGCAGTCGTCACCGGTAACCTGTTACACGTACGTTCATCTATTATAGTGAGTGTTATGATTACTACACGATTACCGCTGCCGCTACTTTTGATAAGGATACCCCTTTACGTGTAGCCCAAACATAGCAGCATAATGATGCTGAAATCAGCCAAGTTAACAGGAAGGGGAGGATACAATATGAGGCAGTTTGTGTTAGTCCATGTTAAAAGAGCTAAAAGCTGCTGCTGTAGTTGAATCATTTTTTACAGCTTCAAGTAATCTCCCTTTTTTTTTCTCGTTTAATTCCATTGGCTGTTGGCTCTGCAGATATTGCTGCGCTTATTGCTATTGTTACCTGCCAGTGCCCTTGAATCTGATGATAAGGAAGATCAGCTCCCGTCCGCCACGATCACTCTTTTCGTGGAAACGCATCCATTTGTTGCCATCAGTATCTATGGTATAGGGAAGTATAACCCCTCCTATAACGTTGATGAGGATAGTTATACGCATTTAGGTGCCGCATTGAATATCTAGAATGATACAGTAATAATTGGTTTCGTATACTTAGGAACATGCGAGGTTCGAAGCTTGGCTTTGGCGTACCTTCTTTTCGAGCTGGAAGCCACCTGCCTAATGCAATGTCTATTGTAATAGGAGTCGGATGTAGAATGATTAAAAAATTCTTATATTTCAGCAGGCCACCTATTAGATCATTATCAATATACCGGATAGTGTGAAATAATAAATGAAATTAGGGATACTGTGAAAGATGCAATAAAATAAAAGTGTTCACTTAAGAACGCTATATCCTCTCACGCAAATATTATCTACAAATGACCAGGTAGTTGGATCCAGGATTCGTATGTTCGAATGCGGGAGCAAAGCTAACTTCGGTAAAGAATTTGGTTAGATAATTTTTAAACTGCGTCGTAGATTTCTGGGTACGAGAGCTATAGAGAGTGATAAGACGTAACTTTTTATTGAGCGACTTACTAAGGGTCGCCTCGCCTTACAAACAAAATAATAATCTTTATTGATTATCATGTTAGCTAATTATACTTAGCTGTACAATGTTGTGTGTTTATGTATTGTGTTTTTGTGTTTAAATTTAAAATAACGATCAAAACCGGTCGCTGCTCTTCTAGTACTGGATACACCTTTATAAAGCAAAAAAAGAGCAACTTTCAGTTAACTTCATCGAGTTTCTAAGCGTTCTCTCGTACCTTTTATCTCGTTTGTGAGATCAGCTAAAAGTAACTGGATGATTGCTCACCGCTCAAACATGACAACATAATACCGGCATAACAACATGCATCACTTGAAAAAATGACGGAGTTTTAGCATTGCATAGAGCTGCTGCAATTAGATATAAACTCCATTAATAGCTGAGTCGTGTTCACTAGGCAGGTCTATATTTGCCCTGTTATAGCTTAATAGGTGGCGATAGTCCAGGTTCGAAACCACACTTTGTTTCGTGCTGGGTCCGATAGATTACCTAACGCAGTGTCGGACTTAAACTCGAAATATACTGGTAGAAACTGAATATACATGGTTCGATTGATAACTGTTTAAAGACAATAAAAATAATGATGCTAGATTTGCTGGAATAAAAATTGCACTTTGGACTTAGCTTAGCTAGATCAGTGTTTTTGATAGTTCATCCCAAACACCTTAGGACTAATCTTTCGTTCGTGAAGTTCTTTTGAGTGTCTAACACGTGGAATACATTTTGTAACCTGGAAAAAATAGAGAATCGGCACGTACTTCGAATATCATTACCGACTGACCGATGCGAAAGTATTGGCTGAGGGATATAAGCTCCAGTATTCATCGATAGCTATGAACCCGATAGACTCAAGCCGATGATTGCGAACGAATGATCGGCCGTCAAGCAGCTATAGAAGATTATGCCGATAATCTACGAGCGGAAATTCGGCCGAAAAATTTTACACTTTGTTGACGTCCACTTTGGTTTGATCTCAGTCAGAGGTTGTACTATGGCAGATTATCAGAGCCAACCCCGCTGACTCCTGAAGTGCGGCGGCGCTGCCTCAACGGAAGCATACGGAGGCAAACCGATCGAAAACGCTATTTTGGTTTGCGAAATACGAGAAACAAACTAGTACAGCTAAGAGCAACGAGATGAAGCCATGTTGGTGAATTGATGACGTTATTGAAGAACTACTGCTTATTCGAAAGGACCCAACAAATAACAGTCACTGTAACGGCACGACATAGAAAACTCCAAATACTGATCATAGGATTTAGATATTTTACTTGGCTATGCCACAATGGCAAATCACCTTAGTCGCTTGAAGATACTTATGTCAAAGCTGATTGTTCAATATGCAAAGCTAGCGAGTGCGCGAAAACACCGAAAACCAATTTCGTTCACCGAGAGGTGTTTATTATTGAAATAGATTTGAGCTAACCAGCAAAAACAGACGCCACACGAAGAGAGCGCAATTTCACTAAAATTATAGGAAATTTAGGGTTTATTGCTTTGAATGGGAATATCGTCTGTATTAGACGTTTGACCCCAATTTGCCGTAATCGGCGTCATGATGGTTTCGCTAGTTCATGCGAGTACTAGAGATACTCGTGAGCGACTGTATATGCATGTACAATGAATGGTGAAAAAAAAATCCGCTTCAACAGACGCGAAAAATGTTAAAAAAAAAAAAACTCATTGGCAAAGGTTTGGCATCATTGCAAGCACGTTTTGTTCATTGAAATTCTGATTGCGAGCATTTCCTTCGACATCTTTAGTAGACTATCTATGTCTTCTT